CGGCTCAAAATTAGGTCATCATCCCCCGCTCAAACATCAATGAATTAGCATTTAGAAAACTGATTGAGTCAGCCCTTTCACTCAGCTCGTCAGTCAGTCTCTACGCTTCGCAGCTATCAGCACGTACTTTCATCCAGCTCATCTCGCTTACTTGCAGCCCTTCGACATGGACATCTCACGTGACGCTCTGGCCGCACTCCTTGGTGGCGAGTATATCAGTGACGAAGTGATAAATCCGTTTTTTGATTTACTTCAAGAGAGATCTTCAACTTTACGTGCTCTGCCGAGGATCAAAATCCTGGACTCGTTTCTGTTTCAGTCTTTCCAGAATCGCGGCCCAGCAGCCCTTGTTTGGAGAAAGAAAAATCTGGACTTCAAGAACTTGGACTTCATTTTGGTGCCTTACCACGCCTCCAAGCACTGGTCCCTGGTGGTAGCGGACCTGAGAACCCCCGCCTTAATGTACTTGGATAGTAAGCACTTCAGTCCAGCTTCATGTCTCGCGAAGTTCAAGACGATTCTCCAACACCTCCTTCCCGAAGAGGACATCTCAAGATGGCCAAGTTGGCCCGTCGCCGTGCCTCTACAGCAGAATGAAGTCGACTGCGGCCCCTTTACCTGCGTATTCGCCGAAGCAGTTTCACGTCGCGCATCAATCGCCTTCCCTCCAAACTTAGCCATCAGCACCAATTTACGTGTAGTGTTGAAAGACATTCTGCTCACTGGCCGCGCAGTACCCATGTCCAGCGGCGAGTTCAGCCAAGCGCCTCTTCATGTACTTTACCCTCCGCTCCAACCTCAGCCGGTGGCTCCACAGAGCTCGTGCCCCGCCGTTGCAGACAACCCAAACTGCACCGTGCAGATTGCTCCAGCCACCCTTGCCAGTATGAGAGAGTACGTCGAGCGTAATCTAAACAGAAGACGTGTGCTACCATTCGCGTTCTACCCGCTTAACTGCTCTAAACGAGTGAGATTGTACCCAAGAGAAGCAGCTGAGATTTTAAGAAGCGCTCGTCGCTAATCAGCCCACGTCATTCTTGTGTAAATTCGTTAAATTCTTGTGTAAATTCGTTAAATTCTCTAATATTTTATGTAAATTTTAATTTGTGTCCGCTCTGAATTGTTTTTTAACTTTTTTTCACAAATTCAGACATTTTCTCCTCTCGAATGAGCTTTAATGTAATCCTCTTATAATTATCTCGTGTTTTTTCCTGTGCCCAATGTGTAAAATTTAACTTGAATTAGTTATCCTCTTTTTTCACTTGGTTTTTGTTTCGAAAAAGAAGGAGAGATTTCACCTTCTTTTTGGTGGGGGGAATGTTCGAGCCCACTGTGGCTCTCCCCTGTTCCACCGTCCACGCCTCAACCGCGCGCTT